AATGACATGATGCACAAAGCCTGTTATCCTCATCTTACCCTAAAAAAACTGTGGGCAGAGGGAGCCCACAGCTGGCAAAGAGCAAGTGTAGGGCATGAGCCACATCTGCACACTGGAGTAACACGTAGCCATTAAAAATCAAGTCAAGGGCCAGCCCCAGTGACCTAGTGGCTAAGTTCGGTGTGCTCTGCTTCGGTGGCCCGGGTTCAGATCCCTGGCGTGGACCTACACCACTCATCTATTAGTGGTCATGCTGTGGCAGAGGCTCACATACAAAAAGGAAAAAAGATTAAGGTTGGCAATGGATGTTAGCTCAGGGTGAACTTTCCTCAACAACAACAAAAAAATCAAGTCAAAGGAAACGATTCCCTCACGTGGATAAATGTTCACTCCATATTGCTAAATGCAAAATGGCTCGTGATCACAACAGCACGTACAATATGATACCAGTTTTTTAAGGAGAAAGAACCTCCCTCCCAACACACACACACAAACACTAGAGCAGACATAATATTTACTGTCGTTATGTCTGGATAATAGGAGTATATGTGGGATTTTTTTTTCCATTTTGTGTTTTTCTATGTTTCTCTGTTTCTACATTTAGCATATGTTGTTTTTAAATTTTCCAAAAAAATTCCCTTCAAAGGAGTAGAAGATTTGTCAGGAAGGAATAAAGTCCTATTCCTTCTCCCTTAGGAGCTGCTGTGGATGGTTCCAGTGATCTGGTTCACCTGGATGAACCAGCTAGGGGTGGTGGTGAACAAGATCCAGAGTAGACATTACTCTCAGTCCCTGGCTGAAGGCCAACAGGGTGCGCCCTGATTCCAAGCAGACCTGGCCAAAGGAAGGTTGGCTGAACCCGAATCTGGGCTCCAGGGAGCTGCAGGCTGGAGACACAGTTTCTCATCAGATAGTTGCAGGTCCCAGGAGGCCAGAGTTTCCAAAGAGGAAAGGTAAAAATAGTCTGCAGGAGGCTCCTGAACCAGATTCCCGGACTCAGAATTGCCTCTGCCTCCCCCGTCTTCTGCCCCTAGTCTGGGTTCCAAATACCATCTGACCCTCTGTCACCACTGTCACTGCTGCCCAAGTCAGGTCTCACCCCCTCGCACCTGAACCAGCCTCCTCAGTTCACCGTGGTCAGCATCAAATCAACCCTCTTAAAACAACTCCTGTTCAAACTTTTCCATGGATCCTGGTGGGGAGCTTACTAAAAATGAAGTCTCGTGGGTCAGATCTCCAGGAATTCAGAGTCAGCAGATCTGGAGGGGGGCCCAGAAATTTGCATTTTAACCATTGAGTCTAGTACCCGCTAAAAAACAAAGCCTGGGGGAAGGAGCTTCTCCTGCCCACTGATCTCTCCACTCTCTGCATCCCAGAGGCAGCCTCTGCTGGGGACAGTCCCTCTGGGTAGACACAGCCCCCAGATTCGTATCCCAGTCAGAAATCGGTCTGATTGTGAATAACCTCAGCTCACTGAAATGTTAACCCTAACTTGATTGGAATGCTAAGCACAATTCAATAGAGTGGATAAAACTGTTGCTTAGTGGCTAAGTGTCCTGTCACACTCCAGGAAAGTTTTTTTTTATTTTTATTTTTATAATTTTATTTATTTTTTTCCCCCCAAAGCCCCAGTAGATAGTTGTATGTCATAGCTGCACATCCTTCTAGTTGCTGTATGTGGGACGCGGCCTCAGGATGGCCGGAGAAGCGGTGCGTCGGTGC